GCACCGGCTGGGGCTGATTTAGTCCGTGGCTGGGGTGTAGCGGAGCAGACTCAGAAAACCCCTTGCTGCATCAGGCCCCTGCTGCCACATCGGCGCTACAGGGGCTGTAGGCCTGGCAACCTAAATTCTAGGTGTCGGCCAAAACTGGGGAGGGAGGGTGTCTTTCCAGTTATCCTGCTCGGGTTTTAAGGCTGCTGAGGTGCCCTTTCCTAGTATAGACAAGCCCTGGGGTGGGCTTCTACTTAAAGGTTGGGGCAGTGCAACTAGAGAGCTCAGGAGACTGAAAAATCCAGATTCCCGAGCCTATAGCTGTGAGGAAGGTGCTAGTTTCTGACTGGTGGGGAGGTGGAGTTCCTAGCTATGACAACACTTGCAAGCTTTGGTGAAAAAGTGCTGTCAACAGGCAAAAGTCACCAAAACAGAACTTGCCAAACCAATTTCTCTGGTATCCACTGTCAACGACTCATGGCTGCAGCTCCCTTGTCAACAGAAAGAGTAAAGGCATTGTGGCTATGCATCTTACGGTGTCTTGCATCACCTTCACTCACTAAGCCCTGTAGGAAAGCACAACGGAGCATTAGGAATGTCTTCTTCCCAGATGTCCCTGGGTTTCCAGCTTATTTTTGTGCCAACTCAAGTAACTGTGGTGAGAAACCACGGGCCCCTAACTTCTGGCCCTTATGAGCACTGCGTAGACAACATCACACATCGCTGCATACCTAATTATAGACCTAGTAGCAGATGATAATGACTCATCAGATTCATATTTAGGTTTATCAGTATCCAATTCAGTTTCATCCAGGTCAGTGGATGATGAATTGATATTTCACTTGGCTCTGGCAGACCTGATATACTCATGGGATGGTAACTTTTAGGGTAGGGGAAACCAGCTCTGAGAGGTGGGATTGGAATTTCAGGCAGCTGTGGCATGAAGAGCAGTGGCTACAGAACTTTTAAGCTTCCTAGAGCTGTGTCCTGAGCTGGTCCCTGAACTAGGGGCAAGAACACCTGGATGAGAGCTGCTCTTTCAATAGAGAAGTGTGTGGCCATTGCTTTGTGGGAGATTGCTACTATTTGGTTGCACATCAGTTTGGAGTGAGCAAGTGGCAGGAGCAAGTTTTGTCTTGTCATCTTTCTCCTTGCTTTTATAGCTTATGCTCCCCCCAGTTTCTAACCTATCACTTAGGTCTCCAAGTTTCTGGCATATGGGCTTTTGTCACCTGCCCCCATCAAACCTAGTTTAAAGACCTTCTAATTGAGTTAGCAAGTCTGTATCCAAATACTCTCTTCCTTGATAGGTGGACCCTATTTCTGCTTAGCAGTCTTTTGTTCCTGAAACAGCATCCCATGGTCAAGGAAGCCAAAAGCCCCCTGGTGACACCGTCTTTGCAGTCAGGTGTTCACTTCCATGATGCACCTATGTCTGCCTGGGCCCCTACTGTAGACTGGGAGAATCAAAAAGAGCACCACCCGCACTCCAAACTCCTTCACCTGTACTCCCATGTCACTTCTGATCTGTTCAGGGTCATACCTCAAAGTATCACTTATACATGGATGAATAGTATGGGGTAGTAGTTAGGGATGTTAAAAAGTCATTCAGTAAGGAAACCATGTACCGCTAAAAATCTTAGTGGTTACATCCAAATAACCTTAAATAAGCTTCATACTGCAGAGCCCATAGTGAAGCCTCCTTGGGAAAGGGGCAGAGTTTGACCAATAATATTAACCAATAAACATCATCTTATTGGATAACTGATTAATCAGTTACACTCTTAACATCCCTAGTAATAGTCAGAGGGCTGGATGATTCCTGATAATCCCTCCATAATATCTCAGATATGGCCCCCTTACAGGCAGCATACCTCCCTGGATGCCATGTCAGGGTGATAGATGGGTGCCTCTGTTCTCCTCAGAAAAGGGTCTCCAACCACCACTACCCTGCTTTTCCTCTTGGGAGTGGTAGCTGCAGATCTTCCAGCCTTGGAGATACATGGCTTCTCTTTAGGGGATGATTCCTCCTCTCTCGTTGCCAGGGCAGTGTAACAATTCTCTACAACATGGTGGGTGGATTTGGAACACTCCTCCTCCAGTGGTGTGCCAACAGTCCTCTGTAGCTGAATTCCCACCTGTAATCAGGATTTCTAGTGAGGTAGTTAGTGCCAATACTGCAACAGCTATCTCAAGAAAATAATTGAGGGAGTTGGCTATTCACCTAAGCATGTTTTCAGTGTTGATGAAATGGGCCTTTACTGCAAGAGGATCCATGAACAGACTTACGTTTCTCCACAAGAAAAGACAGTGCCTGGATTTAAAGCAGCCAAAGACCACCTAACCTTGCTTCTAAGGTGGTGATGTTGCAGGAGATATAAAGATGAAACTGCAGACAGCATACTATGAAACTGAAACACTATGAGCGCTCAAGGAATTTTTAAAGGAACACCATCTAGTCATTTGGAGATCCAATAAGGAGGCAGGGATAACTGGAGCTATTTTTTCAGAATGGTTGACTCTGTGCTATCCTTGTATGGAAGGAATACCATGCCAAAGAAAATCTTAGTTTCAAGATTTTATTACATATTGATAATGTACCAGCTCACCCAATCAACCTGGCTAGCCTGTGCAAAAACTTCAGAGTTGTCTTTCTGCCACCTACCACCACATTATTCATCTAACCCATGGACCAAGAAGCTATCTCATTTAAGGCACATTATTTATGCCATACTTTCGACCAGCTCATCAGAAACCATGGCTACAAATCTTGAGTTGAAGTTAGTTGGACATGCATGAATGGTGTATGGGGGAAGTTGTGGTCTAAATGCGTAACTTAAAAGGATGTAAAGATGTTGTCTTCACTGTGACGAAAGATATCCTTTACTTAGCCAATAATGTGGGTTTTAATGAGGTAGAAGCTGGTGACCTTACACAACTTATGCAATCCAGAGAAAAACTAAGCAATGAAGAGCTGGTGCAACTAGAAGTCAGAAGAGGAAGAAGATGGTCAAGAAATAGACGAACCACCAATCCATCACATTTTTGTTTGCCAAATACCTTTCTGAAGCTGTCCAAGTGATTGATTGAAGTTGACTTGCATATCCTTAGTGATGGCGACCCGAACAGGGAAACACCACTCCAAAGCGATTAGGGGAGTTGGTGATATAATTAATTACTATAGAGAAATTTTTTCAGGTTGGGCAAGTTCAGCGAGAGGAGAAACTGGACAATCCACCATCCACTTCCCCAGTCTTCCGTCCACTTAGCTGGGGAGTCAGGTTAGAGAGTAGGATCTTGCCTGCTCCCCAGCTAGAGTGTCAGGCAAGTGCAATGAAAAAGGGCCCTGCTCTCTGTATGGCATCTCCAGGAGGAGAAAGGAAAGCCCCTGCTTTGCAGCTGGAGCACTGAGTGGGTGGGCAGAGAGGGGATAGAGCTGGAGCAGAGCCTTGGCTCCAGATGAGGGGTGGGCCTGGTTATAAGGTGGGCAGCAGCACTACTTTCTCCTTTGATTTTCTGTGTTATGTAATATTGATTGCCTGCCAAACTCATTCTTATTAGAAACACTTTAGGCTGTACTGTGAATATGGGAGAGTGGCCATACTACATTGAATGCACCCTGTCTCCTCTGAGTTTTTATGCATCAAGTTATTTGGGAGGTGCGGGCTAAATGAAATCTGTGTCTTGCAACATGGAATGTATTTGTTTTAAAAATTGACCATATCCTGATTTCTATTTGTGCTTGGGCATAACTATTACAGGTTTAATCCATTATGTGGTAAATAGGGATGTTAGTGTTTAACCAATTCATCATTTAACTGATCAGCTGATGCTTATTGGTTAATGATATTGGTTAAATTCATCTGGCTCCCAGGTAGCTGGCTTTGCTGCGGTAGGTAGGGCAGCGAAGCCTCCTCCCTGAGGCTACGTCTAGACTGCAAGACTCTTTCAGAAGAGGCTTTTTTCAAAAGATCTTTCAAAAAAGAGCATCTAGACTACAACCAGTACTTTTGAAAAAGCAAGTTGCTTTTTTGAAAGAGAGCACCCAGGAAGTCTGGATGCTCTCTTTTGAAAAAGCACAGTTTGCATTACATAGCGCCTTTTTTCAAAAGAGCACTTTCCAAAAAAGGCATTCTTCCTCGTAAAACAAGGTTTTCCGCAGTCGAACAAACTGCCGCATTCTTTCGATTTACTTTCGAAAGAATGCGGCAGCAGTCTAGATGCAAAGGAAGTTTTTTTTTTTTTTGGTTTTGTTTTTTTTTTTTTTTTTTTTTTTTTTTTTAG